AGTGTGTTCAGACATTGCACAAGGTGCTGCTATAAACTCTCTCTCATCCTCACAGCACTACAAAAAAAAAAAAGAACAACAAAAAAACTAAACTAAATTGAAATGGAGCATATGATTAAATATAAGAACTCAAACTACAAATCTTCAAGAAAAAAAAACAGAAATTTTTGTGCATTGTGTCAGGCAAAGATTTCCTAGATATGAAACAAAAAGCATAAGTCAGAGAGAAAAAAAAATGATTAACTATACCTCATCAAAATTAAAAACTCCTGCCTTTGAAATAGTTAAGAAGACCAAATATATGCAAAACACATCCCTAAAAGGGCTTCATCCAGCATATATAAAGAACTCTCACAGTCCAATAATAAAGACAAAAAAATCTGCTGAAAATAGGCAAATACTTTACCAAAATAAGATATACAGATGGCAAATAAAAAAGATGCTCAACATCACATTACTAGGAAACTGCAAATAAAAACCACACAAAAAAGAACTTCTCGGTGAGTTACTACCATACAACTACAATGGCTGACATGAAAAAGGAATGGTACACTGATCATGGAGGAGCATGTAGAACTGCATTCAATACATTGCTGGTTGGAATGCAAATGGTTCAGCCCCTTTGTAAAATAGTTTGGCGGCTTCTAAGGTTAAACATACACGTCATATAACCTAGGAACACACAACTAGAGTTAACCAGGAGAAATGACAACATGTTCAAAGACCTGTACCAAGAAGTTTAGAGTGCTTGTATTTGTAAGAGCCAAAAGCTGGAAATATCTCAATGTCCATAACCAGGGAATGGATAAACAAAAAGAAATTAAAATATAGATATATAATGAGATACTCCTTAGCAATAAAAAGTAATAAAGTACTCATACGTGCAGCAATGTAAATCAATTTAAAAGCATTACACTAAGAAACCACACACAAAAGTCTGTATGATTCCATTTATGTATCATTCTGGAAAAAGCTAAAACTATAATGACAGAAAATAATGAGTGATTACTGGGGCTGGGAACAGACGGAGATTCTGAGAGAAATTTGTGGAGAGATGGAAATATTTTATATCTTGATTATGATGGAGATAAATTCTACTATACACACCAGTCCAAATACACAGAATTATACACTTTAAAAGGGGTTTTACATGCTAAATCCAGTAAAGAACAATCCAGTAAAGAAGCTAAGAGAAACATCCAGACAACAAAAAGTAGAGCACAGTGTTTAAAACTTAGGTGCTACAATGAAATGAGACAAAAGGAAAGGGTAGCTGGACTATCATGCACAGGAAGAACATGAATTTGTGTGTGAAAAAAGTAAATCAGAAAAAAGTATCTCAAGCAATTCTCATATAAGTCAAGACATGAAAACGGGTCTAGGCCAAGATCAGAGGACAGAATATGGAAGGATGAGAAAATATTTTGAGAGAACTACCAAAAATGGAGGTACAGAAATCTATAAAAATGAAAAAGCATGCATTATAATACAGTGTAGAAATGAAGTAGTCTTTTGCGGACAGATGCTGAGAAAGTGAACTATCCTAAACTTTTGAAGGGAAAATCTTCATAGGTCAGAGGTAAAAAGAACTTTGGAAATCATCCTTATAACAGCTACTGAACTATCTGCTGAGTTAGGCTCTTGAGGATAGAGACAAGAACACAAACTGAGGGAACTAATTAAACACGAACAAACAAGTACACAAATATCTCAACCTTTGCAACACCCTCGGTTCGAATAGTCACTATTTAATAAAGGCATTATCACTTAGCCCTACCTTGACATTTCCATACCAACTCTCCAACTATATGAATTTTCTTGACAGTGTTCAAAGACAGCTTTCAATTTACTGTCTCTATGTCTTTAATGATCTACCCATTTATAATCAATGAAGTTACACCCCCAAATTCAATCCTATGAAATCCTCTCTGGCCACTTTAGACAGAAATCAACTTCCTTCCTCCTCCAAGCTCCTACAGCTCTTGTCTTTCTTCTGCCTTTACATTATGTGTGTGCTTGTCACCTCTCCAACAAGGCATGCCTCAAGAAAATAAAATGTGCCCTGGCGTGATTCTGTCCTGAGCATCTGTTCTCTGGGGCAGCAGCTGTTTATTTCCGTTCGCGTTCTCTCCCACCTAAGTGCGTGCCACCACTCCATGGAAGATTTGATGGATATGGACATGAGCCCCCTGAGGCCCCAGAACTATCTTTTCGGTTGTGAACTAAAGGCCGACAAAGATTATCACTTTAAGGTAGATAATGATGAAAATGAGCACCAGTTGTCATTAAGAACGGTCAGTTTAGGGGCTGGTGCAAAGGACGAATTGCACATGGTGGAAGCAGAGGCAATGAATTATGAAGGCAGTCCAATTAAAGTAACACTAGCAACTTTGAAAATGTCTGTACAGCCAACAGTTTCCCTTGGGGGCTTTGAAATTACAACACCCGTGGTCTTAAGGTTGAAGTGTAGTTCAGGGCCTGTGCATATTAGTGGACAGCACTTAGTGGCTGTGGAGGAAGACGCAGAGTCCGATGAGAAGAAGGAAGAGGATGTAAAACTCTTAAGTATATCTGGAAAGCAATCTGCCCCTGGAAGTGGTAGCAAGGTTCCACAGAAAAAAGTAAAACTAGTGGCTGATGAAGATGATGATGATGACGATGAAGATGATGACAACGATGATTTTAATGATGAGGAAGCTGAAGAGAAAGCACCAATGAAGAAATTGATACGATACTCCAGCCAAAAATGCACAAAAATCAAACCAGAATGGAAAAGACTCAAAACCATCAACACCAATATCAAAAGGTCAAGAATCCTTCAAAAAACAAGAAAATTCCTAAAACACCCCAAGGACCTAGTTCTGTAGAAGATATTAAAGCAAAAACACAAGCAAGTATAGAAAAGGCACATTGAACAGTCCTGGGCACTACTGATAAATTTAAGCCCAAAGATGGGGAGAAAGGAAAAGGAGAGACAAGTAATAGTCCATTCTGCATATCATCAACAATCCAGTCTGAAGTCTTCTATTTTAATCTCAATCCCCTTTTCTGATTTGCCACTCAGACCCTCTTCCAACCTGGAAGCAATCTTTTTCCTAAAGCACCATTTTTTCCTTTACTTTGTTGACTGCTGTGATTCAGTGAACCTTACATAATGCTTTCTGTTGTGCATATGCCTCATCTCTTCTTTTAATTACCTTTGTATTTCTTAGGTGCTCAATAAATATTTGAATGAATAAAAAAAAAAAGAAAAGAAAAGAAAATGTGCTCCAACTGGTAACTGCCACAATACCTACACAAGACAACTCATCCTAAAATATAACACACTCAGTCACACTTACCTTACTGCACGGTGTGAGTAAGGTAATAATAATATGACCCTAATTCTTCCTTCTCATTCCTTTTTATTTTTTTGCAGATCAAAACTGAGGCCACATACAAGTTAGGCAAGCATCTGCCACCAAGCTACACCCCAAACTCTCACCCTTTTATACTGATTTACTTAACTAAGAGCTTCTCTTCACACAATCCTATTCTGATAAGCCTGTGTGGGAGTACATACAAATATCCACCAGAGTATTTGTATGTATTGCATATATGCACAAAGAAAGCCATTAGCAGGATATACTCTGAGAGATCAGAGTTGAGTATCTTTCACTTTTCAGATTTGAGTATTTTTCATTTTTCATTTAACATCCTTTTATAGTTTTTGCAGTGAGCACATTTTTTTTTCCCCAGTCCTGGAGCTCAAATTCAGGACCTTGCACTTGCAAGGCAGGCGCTGCACCACCCAACCTAAATCCCTGGCAAGCACATATTATTTTTAAGATGTCTTCCAGTTTATTAATTTGATTTCTCCCCATTCTTTAAGGCTGAGCTCATCTTTGCCCCTTTTCTGAAGCCTTTATCAAACATTTCCAGGCATGGTCATCATTTCTAATCAGTATTTATGGGCCGAGGATTTAGCTCAGTGGTTCTGCCGCCTACCTTGCAGGCGCAAGGACCCGAGTTCGATCCCCGGTACCAAAAAAAAAAAAAAGACAAATCAATAAATTTTTTAATGGTTAAAAAAATCTTCTAAAAAGTGTTCTATCTGAAGCTTAGCAGTCATTTTTAAGAATGCTCTTAGACTGGCTCAAGACCAGGAATGCTGTTATAGTCTTTCTTGACTCTGTAGCACAAATCATAGAGAACACTCAGTAAATGCTTACTAAGTCAAGGAATGGGATTTCCTGCAGGCTTTATTATAAACCACAGGATTCACTTGGAGTTTGAACTACTCAGGAGGCTGACTGAAATAGAAGGATCCCTGAAGGCTAAGGGTTTGAGGCCAGCCTGGACACCAGAGCAAGATTTTGTTTCAAAAACAACAAAAATCCATAGGGTTTAGAAAGCTATACTGATTTGCAAACATATAAATATTATAGACCAATTTCAAATTTTATGCTATGTCAAAAACATGCTGCAAATTATAAACTTCTCTGGAAAGACCTGTCAATTAAAAAATTCTAAAAACAGAATTATAAGGTCGGCTAGTTACAGTGCTATTTCAGAACTAGTGAGCTACACTACCAATTTAATTTAGTGTGATGGTATAAATTTTACTCTCAAATCCAAGCTCTTTGTGAAATATAAAGTCTAATCATCTAATACAGATCTAAGACATTAGCTGTAGTAAATCTTCTAATTTTTTGAAAGAAATGTACATGCCATTCAAGTTCAAATAATGATAGAATATTTTAGGGGTGAATGTTACCGTGGCAAAAAAATGACTTTCTCCTTAGTATAACAGATAGCAACTATTTTACATCATTGTGACAACAGTTAATATACTGTACATACGAAAACTGCTAATAGATTTTAAGTGTTCCCATCACCAAAAAACTGTTGAGTTAATGTACATTAATGAGTTTGATTTAGCCATCCCACAAGACATACTTCTATTAAAACACATCTATAAATAAATGTAATTTTTGTCGACTAAAAAAAAACCAAATTACCTCCAATGGCTCAAGTTCATTTTCATAGGATTTGATGATTTCCTTTGAAGACATTAATTGGGCCTCCTTACTAGTAATCTGATCACGAATTTCACAAGCTTTTTCCTTGTTTTGCTTCAGGTATTTCAGTTCTGTTTGACATTCTTTCACTTTCTGACCTTGCGCCTGACGTACCTGACGGAGTGTTTCCAAGGCTTTGATATACCTTTGAAGACACCAATAAACCTGGCTAAGTTAGGGTGTATTTATACAGTAAGCTAATATGCAAGGGATTTGTAATAACTTGGCAAATGCTCATGACATAATGGTGAGAGAAAAATTACATTTATTCTGTCAGTCAGGTAAATAAGCAGACAAAAAAGAAAACGGAAAGGAAATATACCCAGTGGCTGCCACTGGGTAAAAAGTAATAACTGATGAACTTTTTGCTTTTAAAATTTTTCTTTTTAATAGATAAAGCATGGAAACAGCCCAAGTGCCCATCGATTGGAGACTGGATAAAGACGTGGTTCTTTAATAAAATGGAGTACTACTCAGCCATAAAGAACGAGAAACTATGGAGACATTTATAGCTAAATGGATGCATATTGAGACCATATTCTCAAGTGAAATAAATAGGACACACATGTGTAAATACCGAATAGTTTCTCTAGTGTGAGAAACCAAAAGTGTAAATAAGGATTAAAATGATTAAAACGAATAATTGATAATCTGAAATATTAAAAGGGCCAGGGCCAGGGAATTAGCTCAGTGGTTTCGCCCCCTTGGTCCTCTAGTGCAAGGACCCGAGTTCTATCCCCAGGACCAAAAAGAAAAAAAAAAAAAGATCCAACGGTGTAGGGGTGGTGGGAGGGGAAGGGGAAAGGAACGAAGGGAAAAGAAAACTTAAAAGAAAAAAAATGGAAACGAAATCTATGTAAATAGGGAAGGGTGCACAGGTAAAAGGGAAAAAATAAGAACCAAGATGCATCATGTACAGGTACAAGCACCCGATGATAAATGTAAACGTACTGTATACCTAAAATGTACCAATAAAAAATTTTTTTCTTTTTAAAAAAGAAGAATCCAAAAGATAGACATAGTGTTACACATCTACAGAAGGATCTCTTGAAGCGAGGAGTTTAAGGCCAGCCCGGGCAGCACAATGACACTGTCTCTCAAAAACAAATACAAAAGGGCCAGGGATTTAGCTCAGTGGTTCCACCGCCTGCCTCAGTAAGCGTAAGGTCCCAAGTTCGATCGCCGGTACAAAAAAACAAATACAAAAAAAGGCTCAATAACTTAGTGGGCTAAAAAGTCTTAAGAATTACAAACCTTGTTGCAGAAAAAATTTCATCAAACTTTTGCTTCAGAGCCTTTCCTTCGCTTAAAGGCCAATTAGAGTCTTCTTGGTGACAGAAAATGACATTGTTTAGCACAGATTTAGAAACCCCAAGAGCACTTATCATTTCTCGGTCAATTTCTGCACACTTAGAGCTGAGACTGACCTTTTCACCATGCCTGTAGGAAAGAAAAATCAAGAATATAAGTAAAATAACCTGTTCTACTGCTTTATCAATCCTTCATGCTGTACTTCTTTAAATAGCTTCCTTATGCTAAAAAGCCTAACTCTTAAACAATTTACCAGTTTACTGACAAAAAGATTATATAAAACATGATGGTATAGGAAAGGATGCCAAACTTTTTATTTTTTTAACATATTTGGAAGGGGGCTGGGGATTTAGCTCAGTGGTTCCAGGGCCTGTCTCGCAAGCGCAAGGTCCCGAGTTCGATCCCTGGTACCAAAAAAAAAAAAATTGGACTTTTAGTGACAGTAATTTAATATATTTTTATGTAGTACATAGAGAAAAACACTATCTTCCACCCCTAGAACTCAAAAATATGAAATTTAAATGAACAAAGCATGATCATCAGCAGACAGGCAAAAGTGACTTATACAAGTAAAGGTAGTGTCTGTCTTTACTGTTTTTCCCTTTTTTTTCTTTTGAGACAGAATCTCACTATGTAGTTCAGGGTGGCCTTGAACTCACTACATAGCCCAGGTAGGTCTCAAACTTGTGGCAATCCTCCTGCCTCAGCCTTCTGAGTGCTAGAATTTTACTGTTTTTTCATTTCAACTTTTCTTTTTCTTTTCTTTTTTTTTTTTTTGGTACCGGAGATCAAACTCGGGTCCTTGAGCTTTCAAGGCAGGTGACGGAACCACTGAGCTAAATCCCCGGTCTCAATTTTTATTTTTAAAATAGATCCTGAGTATGTAAACATGTTCTGTAAGGGGCTAGAAGGGACACAAATATATCAGCAGGTTATCACATTAGACCATGGAAAGATCATGCAGCTTGGACTAGAATACATAATCACTGCAGAAGTGGAAACAAAGTCAAAAAACATTTAGTTTAAATCCATAGACATAGTAATGGATTGAATAGAGAGAGTAGCAATGTATCCACACGTAGGTTTTTGGCTTTGGTCACTGGACATGTAGCAGTGTCATTCACTGAGACGAAAAGTAATGTAAGACAATCAAGTTGTAGGAAGTTTATTTTAGGAGGGGTCAAAGAATCATAAGCTTTGGGGCATGCTGAATCTGAGATACCATTGAAACAACTAGTTGAAAACAAGAGAGGTAGTTAATATACGAGTCTGGAAACAAAGGTCTGATTTAGACAAATCTGTGAGTCACCTACAAACTCATGGTAACTTGAGCAATTGATACGGAGATGACCTAGGAAGAGAGTATGGAACAAAAACAGAACTAACCAGGACTAAGCTTGTGGCACTCCAACTTTTATCGGCTAGATGAATGAAGTAAGATGTGGTTGTGACGGAGAGAAAGAGGGAACAGTGTTGTATAATGAGGTCTAGGGAAAAAAATTCAGGCAAGAACTGATTAACAACTGCCACTTATTGATCTGCAGTACACAGAATTTGTGAATGCTAGATTACCTGGCAAAGCGGAATTAAGATTACAAACAGAATTAACTGCTCATTATGTGACCTGAAAAGATTATGCTGGGTCATTTGAATGGGGTCAATGTAATCACAAAGGTCTTTACATGTAAGAGAGGGGAGAAAAGAGGCAAGAACGATTCAACATGAGAAATAACTCTGCTCACTGCTTCATGGAGGGAGAGCCATGGGCCAAGATACATGAGTGGCTTCTAAATGATGAAAAGAACAAAACAGATTCTCCCCTCCAGCCCCCAGAAAGAAACACAGCCTACTTAACACCTTGATTTTAGTCTGGTTGCACTGTCTTAAGCATAACTGTTTGTTACAGCAGTCATATGAAACTAATACATGAGCTTTTACTATGTAGTAAGCATTTTATATTCATTAGCTCAATCCTTACAACATTTTTCTAAACTATGTATAGGGATAATGAACCCCTACTTTACAAAGGAAGAAACAGAGGCCCACTATAGGTCTACTTTGCATAACACCAGCATTATTCTAACCAATAAAAAGGTTATTAGTGACCTCAGTGGAGCTGTGTCAGTGGAAGAATGGGATGAGAGGAGGGAAGAGATGAAGAAATGGAGACAAGTATTGTGTTTCTTTTCTCTTATTGCTGAGACAAAAATACCTGACAACCAACGTTAAAGGGGGAAAGGTTTATTTAGCTCACAGTTTGTAGAGGTTTTAGTCCATAGCAGGCTGGCTCCAAGGCAAGGATGGCAAACAGGCCTCACAGAGGAGAAATAACATGGTGTGCACAAAGTAGCAAAGGCAACAAGAGAGCTTCACTGAATCTTTCTGTCTCTTTTATCCCACCCAGACTGCAGGGATTAGGGTGGTGCTAACCCACTCACTCACATGCAGTGGTTTAGGAATCACACACCCTTAATCCCAGCATCACACATTCCAGATTCAGCCACCTCTGACCGAATCAGGCTTTGGCAGGGACATCCAGTCCCAAAAGGTAACAAGTATCTATAACTCTTCTGAGAAAACTGGCTGCAAAGGGCAAGAGGGAGACAAGAAATAATGAAATCCAAAGGTATGAAAAAGGTTTGAGTGTGATTAAAAACCATGGATAGCCGGGCATGGTGGCGCATGCCTGTAATCCCAGCACTCAGGAGGCTGAGGCAGGAGGATCGCTTTGAGTTTGAGGCCAGCCTGGGCTACATAGTGAGTTCAGGGCCAGCCTGAACTACAAAAAACAAAAACAAAAACACCACCACCACCACCACCACCAATGAAAAGAACCTGCTTGAAAAACCAGTGCCTAAGGCAGCACCTGTAGCAGGCACTAAACATTACTGGCTAAATAAGGAATTGCTTAGTTTAATAAACAAAAAGAAAGTTAAGTAATTTTCTCAGCAAGGATAAAGTTTTGAATCCAAGGCAGCCTTAACTCCAATTGCTGAAGATGATACCTGAATCTAACAAAATGATAATGGTTAACAGAGAAATTCTCACTCTTCCCTGACAGCTTATCTCATCCACCTGTATACATGATAAGAGCATTTTTTTATTCTTTTTTTTTTTTTTGGTACTGGGGATCGAACTCTGGTCCTTGCCCTTGTGCAGCAGGCGGGCAAAACCACTGAGCTAAATCCCCGGCCGTTATTCATTTAACCTACATTTGAATGAGTATGTATTCAATTCAGAACTCTTCCTAAATCACTCAAGGAAATAGAACATTATCACTAAATCTTCAATGGGATCATCTGATAAACAGCACCAAAAAATTAAATGTTGGTAGTGGGAGATGTATGAAGGGACAGTGAATATATGGAAACTCTATATTTACTACCCAATTTTACTGTGAATCCAAACTACTCTAAAAAAGAAAGTTCATTAAAATTAACATGCTCCCCTAAAATAAATAGGGGAAAAAACACAGTATATAAAACTTAAGACTGAAAATAAAGAGATTTTCAAATATAGTGTTAACACCTACTTTATTCTGGAAATGATGCCTTCCAAGGTTTTAAATTCTGTCTTTTTGCTCTTCTGAGAACACACCATAGATCGCTGCACAGCTATACATTCTCCATTGACATCACGAAACTGTAGACGAATCTGGGCTCTCACGTCTGTTTCTTGAGCAACCTTTGTGGGTAAACAGAGAAAATTAAGCACCAGAATGTTAGTTCTGAAAGAAAAACCATAAACAATCTTACTCATCCAAAATGAGGCACAAAGAAAAGCTTAAATATCCAAAGTAACATTTTTCACATGCTGGGCCAGGGATTTAGCTCAGTGGTTCCACCACCTTGCCTCGAAAGCACAAGGTCCCGAGTTCAATCTCCGGTACCAAAAAAAAAAAAAACAAACATTTTCCACATGCTATTCAAAATATAGGAGAAGCCAGGCATGGTGACACATGCCTACAATCCCAGGACTCTCAGAGCCTGAGCTAGGAAAACCCAAAGTTCACGCCCAGCCCGGTCAACTTAGTGAGTACCTGTTTCAAAATAAAAAATGTTTTAAAAGGGCTATGGATGTAGCTCGGTGTGAAGGCCCTGGGTTCAGTCCCTAGTACTGCCAAACCTCAAAATATGGGAAGAAAAGAATACAGTTTGAGTTAATAAAATGGTACAGTATTATCTACCTCCTTTACTCAGTGCCATTAAAAGTATGTAAATTTTTAGGTGGGGGATTTAGTTCAGTGGTTCTGGCACCTGCCTTGCAAACACAGGGTCCCAAGTTCAATCCGCAGTACCAAACAAACAAACAAACAAACAAACAAAATGTAAATTTTTAAAATGAATTTTATCTTTTTAAGTTTAAAATTTTAACTTACAAATTGTAACAGAAAAATGAAAATACATGTAATGTTACCTTTGACCCACTTGAGAATAAGATGCATCACCAATATCTTATAAAATAAGTTTTCAACCACAAAAATCAAGAAATTGATACTGATATATTACAATAGGATTCACAGATCCCATTCAAGTTTTGCCAATTGTTCCAATATGTCCTTTACAACAAAACAATACCGTTCAGAATTACAGATTACATATGTCAGTCACATCATTTTAGTTTGGTGTGTTTTTTTTCTTTTTTCTTTTTGAGACAGTCTCGCTATGTAGTTCATCCAGGCTGGCCTCAAACCCACGATGATCTTTCTGCCTCAGCCTCCCAAGGGCCGGGATTACAAGCATGCACCACCATATCCAGTCTCTTGTTTCTTCCAGCCTAGAATGCTGACTTATGACTGATCATTTGGAAAATTACAGACCATTATTTTGTGGAATACCTTCCAAAATTTAGGTTTGTGTGGTACTTTCTTGTGACTGAAATAGTTACACATCTTTGGTAGGAATATTACAGAACTGATGGTGAGTCCTTTTCATTGTCTCATCAGGTAGGGCATGACTTCAATACATTTCATAACTTGAAGTATTAACTTCAATCTCTTGATCAAGGTATATTTCCCAGCTTCTCTATCAAACAAATGTATTTTACTTAACAATTATTAAACATTTGAGGGAGCTGCACTGACACCATGTAACTATCCCATACAGTATTTCATTCAACTTTCCTCTAGTTTTAACTATTGGTTCTTAACTGAATGACTTACTATTACAATCTCAATCAACCAGAAATTTTCTAGTTCCATTATTCCTTCCACATTTATTGGACAGGATTCTACTAGAATAAAGGCCTCTGTACTTTCTCTGTTTTTTCCTCTTCATATTTTGTAGAAGTGTGAACTCACATTCTTGTTCTCCAATCCACCAGGTTACCACCTCTATCCTTTGTGTATCCATTTCTTAATTAATCCTACCTAATGGTCTTTGGACTGAATTACTCAGGAATAACAAAGAGATGATGAGCGTTTTTACCGTGATTATTAAATTTACAAGCCTTTCCTGTATCTATTAGTGCTCATGTGATTTTCCTTTCTGTTAATGGTACAAATTACACTGACTGAGTTTTGGGTGTTAAACAAACCTTGCATCCTTAAAGTAAATCTCACTTGGTCCAGGTGTATGATCTTTATATATGTGTGACTTTTCCTTGCTAATATTTTGCTAAGGATTTTTCCATCTACCATATCATCAGTAGTTACTGTAGTTATGAGATATCAGTAGTTATCTTGGAACGTGTAGATTTGGCATTAAGGTTATGTTAAATTTGTAAGCTGGTAAGTACTCCTTTCTGCCTCTTTTCTGAAAGTTTGTGAGAAACGGCATTATTTCTTCCTAAAATATTTGGCAGAGTTGTCTTAGTCACTTTCTCATCACTGGGACACAACATGTGACAGCCACAACTTAGAGCCAAAGGCTTATTCCGGCTCACAGTTTCAGTCTATGATTGGCTGAGTCCAAGAAGAAACAGCAGGGCGGGAGGGAAGGGTGGAGGAAAGCTGCTCAACCCCTGGCAGCCAGGAAGCAGACAGAGAGAGGAGCTGGGGACAGACACAGCCTTCCAGGTCATGTGCAAGTGACCCACCTCCACCCAGGTCCCATTTTTAACAGCAAGGCTTTTGCACCACCCCATAAGCCAACCATCTTTGAAACATATAAGACATTTGCGGGACACTTTAGCTCTAAATTATAACGAGAATTCACCAATGAAACCATCTGGGCTGGAGTTTTCAGTAGCAGGTTTTAAAATAAAAAATAATAGGTATATTTCTTCTCGAGTGAGCTTTGGTAGAATTTTCCAAACAGCTGGAAATGCTAGAGCTTAAGAAAGAAATCAGAGTTAAATACATAAATTTGGAGTCTCTAGAACATAGTTAGACTTAAAGCCAGGGGAATGAATGAGATCATCCAAGAAGGAGACAGAAAAGGGGCTAAGTCTTGGGGCACACTAGCATTTGGAAATCAACCAAAGGCAAACCCAACAAAGACTAACAAACGGCTAAGGAAAAAAGAGGTAATCCTAAAATTATGTGCCATGGAAAGCAAAAGGGAAATTTTAAAAAAATAATAATAATAACCAGCCAGGTATGGTGGCCCATGTCTGTATTCCTAGCACCTGGGAGGTTAGGGGAGGAGGATCACTTCAAGTTTGAGGCCAGCCTTGTCTCAAAACACAAAACAAATAAATAATAATAGGGATGGGGATGTAGCTCAGTGGTGCCGCCACCTGCCTCGCAAGCACAAGGTCCCGAGATCAATCCCCGGTACCACAAAAAAAAAAAAAACACACAAAAAAAACTAATAGTAATCTACTAGATCCAATCTGTTAAGACGTTAATGAGAATTAGAAACAGACCACTCTATCTAGCAACATGAAGATTACAGAGAACCTTACAAGTGCAGTTTTAGTGGAGGGGGAAAAAGGAAGAAAATCTGAGTGTAGCAGACAAAGAAAATGGGAGGTAGGGCCAGGGATTTAGCTCAGTGGTGCTGCGCCTGCCTGGAAAGCACAAGGTCCTGAGTCTGATCCCCGGTACCACAAATAAATAAATAAATAAATAAATAAAATTAAAAATTAAAAAATAAAGTAATTTTTTTAAAAATAAGGACTGGGTTTTTAGCTCAGTGGTTCCACTGCCTGCCTCGCAAGCGCAAGGACCTGGTTCGATCCCTGGTACCAAAAAAGAAAAGAAAATGGGAGATAATGAAGTGAAAACAATAGGTATATATAATCTTGTTAATTTTGCTACCAGGTGGAACAAAAAAAAGGGCAATAGCTTGAGGATGTTTTAGAGTAAAGAGGGTTTTTTTAATTGAAGATTGGACCATGTTTACACACTGATGTGAACTATCCTAAGAGAGAAACTGCTGATGCAGGAGAAAGGAATGAAAGGGCAAAATCCCTCAGTTAATAAGAGAGATGGACGGGCTTTAGCCTATAAGAGGAGCTGGTTGATGTTTAGATAAGGCAACAAACAATAACCCTTAACACACGAGAGAAAACAATATGGGTACATGAATAAGGAGTTTGGTAGATTTTTTTATTAGAAAATATGAAATTTTCATCTGATTTCTACCTTTCAACAAAAAAATGGCAAGATCATTAACTGAGGAAAGTAGATTATAGGTTTAAGGAAACAGAGGTGTGAAATAGACATTTCATAAAGGGCTCAGTAAATGTTTTACCATTTTAAGATGAAAATTCATAATTATAAGCTCAGCGGCACAGCACCTACCTGACAAGCATGAGGTTCTGAGCTCGATCTGTGATTATCAATGGGGGAGGGGTCGATTAAATACATAAACTGCAGGATATAAACTCAATAGAATACTATTTAGTCATTATTTTAGTAAAAATAATGAAACAGAAGAGTATTTATATACTCACACAGGCGTGGCTTTATAAACACAGAAAAAAATCCTAGAAGTATACAATGAACTGGACTTAATGGGACTATAAGCAAAGGATAGAGAGAAAAGTACACGAGCTCACTAAACAGGTATATTCTTGTTCCATATATGTATACAACAAATAAAGTCTATGGGCCAAATTCTATGCCCTTTATACATGCTAACAGTATAAACAGCTAATTCCGAGAAGGATTCACGTACGAAGATTTTCATCAGGCTACTTTGTGTGCGTGTGTGGTTTTTTTGTCTCACTAAGTACTTCAGGCTGGCCTTGAACTCTCTATGTAGCTCAGGCTGGCCTCGAGCTCAGTGATCCTCCTGCCTCAGCCTCCACCAGGCTACACTGTGAGCAATCTAAATAGAAAAAAATTATGCAACTATTAAAAATGTTCACAAAAACATCACTTATTTTAAGTACAAAATATTTCAGACATACCAAGGCATGAAGATTAAAAGAACCACCCACATACCACTCATTAAGAATTTATTATGTTTTAAAGACATGAGACTTTTTGATATTTAGTGAGGAGAAAGAAAAATAAAAACCATGAATACAAAATTAGAATATGACCTCAGCTATGTAAAACAGTATGTAAAGGAGGAAAAAAGAAAACACATGAAAATATCAGTAATGGCTATCACTGAGTGCTGACTGTGTGTAGGTGACTCATCTCTTTATACTTTCCCACTGCTAGGTTTTCTATAATGATTGCTTTTACAATTATACAAGATTTTAAAAATAAAAAATTGTACTAGCACCATTACCTTGGGATCATGAACAAATGTATTTCCTTTGGTTCCAGGAGGGAAATCTCCAGTACAAATATATTTTAGACATTCTATGATGGTCTATGGAAACAAAAAAATATTAGTTATAAAAGAACTGAAGATATTAATCATAAAGAGCACTCATTATATAAATATTTATTATGTGAATCTGATGCTGGAAAAAGAAAAGGGGGGTGCGGGAAGGGGGGGAAAAAAGAATTAAAATGTATTATGTACACGGACCAAGTCCCTACAGTGAATGTGATCATTATGTACTGCAAACACATTCTAATAAAAGTAAAAAAAAATATTATGGAGACTATAAAAATGTGGTCAGATAAAATCTAACAATATAAGCCCACATAATTAAGAATTTAAGGGCCGGGGATTTAGCTCAGTGGTTTCGCCACCTGCTGCGCAAACGCAAGGACCCAAGTTCAATCCCCGGCACCAAAAAAAAAAAAAAAAAAAAAGAATTTAAGTTCACAGAAAACTATATAATTAAAAGGTACCTTAAAATAATTGTTAAAAGAAAAATTATTTCCAACTCTTTAATAACAACGGCGAACAACTGCATAGAGCTCCTTACGTGTCAAGTATTGTTCTAAACACTTACATTAACCTTTTAATTTTCCCATTAGCCATATGCTGCAGAAACTTTTCCATTTTATAAATGAGAAAATAAGATACAGAGCAGTTAAGCTACTTGCCAGCGGTCATATAGGTAATAAATGATGACAGGAAAACTCTGTATCCAGGCAGACAGTGACTAGTCTGTCTTTCAGTAGCGCACTTAGTATAATGCTAAATATCCATAAACAAAAAACATAAACAAAAGTAAACAACCATCCAACTCTCAACTTTCTCTGTGTGTTTTCCACAAATTCTTCCCTTAGACTCTTCTGTTTTACTGGTATTGTCTTGCGTTTTGTCAAGCCATTCTTCCTGACCCAAACGCTTCTTCACTCAATTTTTAAAATATTCCCTGGACTTTTAACAACCGCTGTAAATAAGCTGTGTTCCAACTTTTTCAGTGTTTTGAGCATCCTAACCAAGTAACCGTTCTCTAATTTAATTAAATCTCATTACACCAGTTTCATTTTAAAGGTAAGCCATTTTCTCTAGCATCCTTAACAGCCGGTACATTTAGCAACTGTTAGTTATATACTGTAACTTTTTAAGGAATTTCTGTATAGGACAACTACTGGGAAATGAATGCTACGCTTCAGGAGCAAGGGGCCAAGGAGGGAAAACCAAAGGCTTCTCGTAGTTCCGAGCAGGTGGAGCGAGAGCCGCAGCAGGTCTAGGTCTCTGGGGCTGGCCTGACGCGCCCACTCCTCACGTGGCTGCGGGCTAAAGGCCACAGGAGGCCACGCCCCGAGGCACTTGCTGGGCGCGCCTTTCCTTCTCCTAACCAGAGCTCTGAAGGCTCAGACTTTCCATTTCCCGGATCCCTAAACTGGCTACCCGCAATCTGAGGGGGGCTACTCAGGACTTACCGTCTTCCCCGCCCCATTGGGTCCAACCAAAATTGTGAGCGGGCTGAAGAAAGTGATAATTTGCTTATCTTTGTCCTCTATTCCAAAACTCCGCACGCCCAGAATGCTCATCTTTTCGATCCGGGACATGTTTGCAAACACCAGGGCCTGGCTCCTGGGCGAGCGAGGGACCGAGGAGCCACGGGAGGCCAAAAAGGTCCGCAGAGCAAGGGCCAACCAGGGCAGCGGCTGTGGCGGGAGCCTTCCACACGGGTTTCCTGAACGGGAGGCACACAGGGGTGGAGGCCGACCGGGGGCTGCCCTCCGGGGACGTAAAGAGCCAGCCGAGCGACAGCGGCAACCTCACGCACTCGGATTCCCGCCTCGGCGTCCCACGCGTCACGTGGGAGCCGCGTACGAGGCGCACGCCGCACGCCGCGCCCCCGGGGCACGCCGGGAAGTGGGAGACCGCGGATGCGCGCGCAGCCCGGCGAGGCACCTCGGCTGAGGAGCCGTGTGTACCGATTGCTGTTCCTGGTGGCCGCGGACTTCCCGCTTCTTGCTAGGGCAGGGGCAACACCTAGAGGTCTGAGGAGGAACGATGAGATGTAGGTTGTTGCGCGCTTCTTAAAGCGTGACCCGGGGACTCGGCATGGGGTGAACTGGGGTAGAGCAAGAGACCCGTTGAGGGGCTCTGTTAAGGTCAGAACTGTTTGCCTGACGACGTCAAGACATTGTTTGCGCTTTTCGCCCTCACTCCCTAACGAGTGTAAGGACACCATCACAGTGGAATGTGTGGTTTTATATTCTTGTGCTTAAAAAAAAAAAATCTCTTAATAGGCTGTAAATATTGCTAGTTAGACCCACAGTTGTTCTTTGAGGTCCTCAGTAATATCGGGGTGGGGGGCTGGGGCTGGAACTCGGGGATTCACGCATGTAAGCAAACGTCCCACCCAGTTACATCCTGAGCTGGTTAATAATATTTTTTTCCCACGTAAGTCTAAGGGATGTTTAAGACTGAAAGCTTGGGAAATGCTTTTGTAGACCAAAGCTCAGATGCTATTTTAAGACTGTAAAAGTGTTTTTGCAAAGTCCAAGAAATGGGCCCCAGTCAACACTGCCACAGGATAGGGATAGATATCTTTAAGGGAAAGAGCCACCGCCTGCCTCGAAAGCCCAAGGTCCTGAGTTCAATCCGCAGTACCAAAAAAAAAAAAAATAAGGGAAAGAGAAATCTCCTTTCAAAAGTGACTGAGAATACTGGTTTCTTAGAAACTTAATGGTAGGATATCAGACAAGGACCTGTAGGTAAATTAAGAACAACAATCACAGTAGTGGAAGATACTGAAAACCAAACAAAAAATTTGGTATAATTCCCCCCCCCCCGAGATGGAAAAATGTAGAAAATGCTCTGCACTCACACAATCCAAAGAAAATCATTTACAGAACCTAGTATATAAACTGGAAACTTGTGTTGCACTATGCAGCAAATGAGGAAGGCCAGTAAGAAGTAGTCTTTGGCCCTGCTATGTAGGTAAGAGGACAACATATCAGCCACTGCAAGATATTTAGCATTAACAATGGAAGGAAACACTGAAATTATTAATCTTACTTGACAAACCAAGTGTAATAGAACAATGGGAAAAGATTAAAGACTTTTCCCCCTACTTTTAAAAACTAAGGGTGGAGGATTTAGCTCAGTGGCACCCCACCTTCCTCAAGAGCACAAGGTCCTGAGTTTGATCCCCAGCACCAAAAAAAAAATTGTAGTAAAAGACACAAGAATTGTAAAATACACATCATAACCATTTTGAAGCATACAGTTTATGGCGTAAGTATTTTCACATTGTTATGCAGACACCACCGTCTTCCATCTCAAAATTTTTAATTTTGCAGATTCAAACTAAACCCATTAAACAATAATTCTTCACTTTCCCCTACACTCATCTAGAAACCACCGTTCTCCTGAAGCTAGGAGGTAGGGGAAGTTGCGCAGACAGGACACAAGTCCTGAATAGTTCACCTAAAGTTCTAAGTTAAAGTTCAAGTGAGTTAACGCAGCAGAGGGCCCAAATAACTTAAACTATCAGGGCCTAATGAAACAAGGGACAAAAAACAAGACCCTAAGCAAATGGGAAAAACCTTGGAGGAAGTGAAATGCAAACAAAGCAGCTTGCATTCTGAACATCAAAGAACTATCTGCAACCAGGAGCACCCTTGCTTTCTGACATGTTCACCCCTACCAAAAACTGTAAAAAAGACAATAGACTTAAACATAGAATGTCTGCCTTTAACCTCTCCAACTAGCAGGGAGCTTTTCCTTTTATTCTTTCTAATAAACACTCATTTGGCCATTCCCCACCGCTCGTAGCTTGTTTTGTCAGCTTCTGTCTTCATTGCCCTAAAACGAGGACCCAAGAGCTAGAGGGAACTGGTGACACTGTTTCTATGATTATGAACTAAGTATCTCAGATGAGTGGAATCACACAGTAGTGTATCTGTTTTTTTGTAACTAGCTGATTTCACTTACCATTGTGTCCTTAAAATTCATCTATGGTTTAGCATGTGACAGAATTTAGTCCTGTTTAAGATTAAGATTCCATTGTATGTGTTTACTACATTTTGTTGATCCATTCTTCTGTCAGTGGATGCTTGTGTTGCTTCCATCTCTCTGCTATTGTAAATAATGATGCTCTGAACCTGGATGTACAGATGTCTCTTCTAGACCCTGCTTTCTTTTGGGCATAAACCCAGATGTGGAATTGCTGGATCATATGACAATTCTATTTTTAATAACTACCATAGTGTTTTCTATAGCGGCTATACCATTTTATAGTTCCACCAATAGTTCACAGGGTTTTCAGTGTCTCCACATCCATACCAACACATGTTTTTTGTTTGTTTAATAGTAGCAATTTATATGTATAAATTTATGTATACATACCCTAATGATCGTGAGGTAGTATCTCAGTGCAGTTTTGCTTTACATTCAAATGTGATATTTATATATCTTCTTTGGAGAAATATCTATTCAAGTAAAGGCCACTTTTTAAAAAGTCAGGTTTATTGAACCATAATTTACATACAGTAAAATTCATCATTTTCCGTGGTACAATTCCATGAGTTTTGGGTTTTGGGTTTTTTGGTTTGGTTTGGTTTGGTTTGGTTTGGTTTGGTTTGGTTTGGTTTTTTGAAGCAGAGTCTCCTTTTGTAGTTTGGGCTGGCCCTGAACTCACTATGTAGCCCAGCTGGCCTCGAACTCGTAGTGATCCTCCTGCCTCAGCCTCCCAAGTGCTGGAATTATAGGTGCGTGCCCACCACGCCTGCCGCCCGGCTCCTGAGTTTCGAAAATTGTCTTAGTTACTTTTCTCATTGCTGATACAAAATACCCAACACCCAAAGTTAAAGGGGGAAGGGTTTATTTTGCTCACAGTTTATAGAAGTTTCAATCCATACTCGGCTGGCTCCAAGACAAGGTGGCTTAGCAGAGGGGCATCACAGGAGAAACCATTCGTGGTGGGCAGAAGATGGCAAAAACAAGCAGGCAAAGGACCTTAGCAGCTTTTTTCTGCCCCTTATATACTTCTCAAAGCTACTGGGATTAAGATGGTGCACACACCCTTAGTACCAGCATTGCACCAAGAATCAACCACACACTCTAGATCCAGCCACCTATGACCTGTGACATGAGGCTTTGGGGGGGACATCTAAACACAAGCCATAGCAAAAGTATAAACAGTTGTGTAATCAAAACCATTTACCCCCCACCAGACATTTAAATAAATTCTGTGGACACCTGGATATTAGTAGAAAGAACAGAGCAAAATTTACGCCTTATTTTAATACCACTACATGTTCCAGATGGATGAAGATCTAGATATTTCTGAAAGCAATGAAAAGTCAGAAAGGTAATTACATTTTTAAAGGAAAATTCTATGACTCAAAGTAACTAGAAGTTAGCAATGAGACAAGAAGACATTACATGTTTCTGATCTCAGTATGAGGTATCCAACATCACCTCTCATGGATTTTTGCTTAAACAAGAAAGAAAGAAAAGCTTAACTTGAATCTAAACACAACTTTTAACTTTCAGTTAATAGGAATTAAAAGGATTAAACTAACAACACTGTAAAAATGGAAAAGGCCAATCCTGACCACAGAACATGTCATACCACACTGGCCTCTCAGGAGATCAGTGTCATTAAAGCAGGGACTTTTGTACATTTTTATAAGACTTTAAGGAATTGCTGCAAATTAAAGAGACCTAGATGTATCACATGGTCCTGGTTTCACATAGATATGAAGGAAATTTGAGGAATACGTGGGGAAATTTGAATGTGGACTAGAAATTAGATGATAAAAAGTGTTAATTTTAGGGGGCTGGGAATTTAGCCCAGTGGCACCACACCTGCCATGCAAGCACAAGGTCCTGAGTTTGATCCCTGGACCACCAAAAAAAGTGTTAATTTTATTATATTAGCCATGATAATATCTTGCTATATAAGAAAATGATATTTTGAGATGCATGTGAAAGTATTTGTGTTAGCGCCCTGCTATCTGTAATTTAAAATACTTCAGAAAAAAATCTTCAGTTGAGGGGAAAAAAATGAACATGACAAGGTAGCTAAATTTCATTACAAAAAAATACAACTTTGAAACACTAGGAAACTAAAACTAAGATTAAAGCCCTAGGATTGGGGGAGGGGAGGTTAGACTAAGCCCCCAAATAAAAATATCTAAAAAGGCAAGCCAGGTGTGGTGACGCAACCGTGTGGTCCCAGCACTCAGGAAGCTGAGGCATGAGGATTGCTGGGAGTTCAAGGCCAGCCTGGAATACATAGTGAACTCAAGGCCAGTCTGAGCTACATAGTGAAACCCTGTCTAAGAAAAACAAAATAAAAAGCAACTAAAAAGGCAACTCAATGAAGTCTTTACTTCTCAGTAAACTACTACTTACTTTTAAAAAACGTCTGGTTGCTTCTATGATAATTAATGTGCAGGCCTGCCTGGCAAGCACAAGGTCCTGAGTTCCATCCTCAGAACCAAAAAAAAGAAAGAAAATTAATGTGATGAAAAATAAAACCACCATGAGATACTATTTTATACCTACTAGTAAACTTCATCCTTATAATACTTTCTGACATAAATTGTCTTGTTTTTTTGTTTGTTTGTTTTTTGGTACCTAGGATCAAACTCAGGACCTTTCACTTGCAAGGCAGGCCCAGCACCACTGCTAAATCCCCAGCCCAATTCTGTCTTTTTTTGCTATCGATATTAGTACGTTAGTTTTCTTTTTATTGTTTGTCCAGTATATCTTTCTATCCCTTGATTTTCAACCTTCCTACATCATTTTGCATTAAGTGCATCTCTTGAAAATAGCTGGATGATTTTAACACAATTTAA